AAGCAAGCAAGCAAAAAGGTTTAGCTATATGATGGAGTCCTTGAACTAGGGTGTATTGTTCATAAAATAGTTCTTTCTTATAAGACAGGCAGGTGTTAAAGAGATGAATCTCCTACTCTTAGGTTTCTTAGGTTTCATCAAGAAGTTACCAGCAACTTCTTGGTTTCATACAACATAGAGGCTTTCAGTAATACAAAGCTTGTTGTGGACATGTGGTATTGCCTCAGACACACTACAGTGTAGTTGCAGGTATAGATGTGAAAGCTGACAGCAATAGGGATTGACAAAGGACAAAAGCTCTCAAAAGGGAACTTGTTTAGGTGTACATCTACATACCATTGTAAATTAGCACAAACCTTTTTCTTTGTAAAATGAATAATGACAAGGAAGTCTGGATGATAATATTCATTTGTTTGCTACATGTATTGTTTTGGATGAGTCATGCACCAGGAATAAATACCCCTCCCAATCAAAGGAATTAAATGCATGCATAATTTTATAATTTGTCAATGCATTTTCTCTAACGAGGAACTTGTGCCGTATGTATTGTACACAGCAATAAAAAAAAAAGTAAGTTCATGTAGGCAAAGATGCATTGTACCATGTACAAATTTATTCAGATAATTATTATTACTTGTTGTTGTTGTTCTTCTTTATTTCTTTCTTTCTGTTTTTCTTTCTTTTTGTAACAAGGTGATATTGGTATGGTACATGTATGACACAAGTTCGAGACTTGGATCATTATGCCCCTATCTCCTCGGGTGTAATGACATATTGTGACACATTATGAATCTTACCAATGCTTAGGCCCAGGAATAGGAATGGGAGATGTTACTTGTACAGGTAGTTTAGCAGTTATGCCTGAGGCAGTGGGTTCTTGAGTTATAGGGAGAAATATGAATCAGCCTTCTGCTCGATCCCTTCCTTCCAGTTATGACTAAATGATAATATTCCCTCAAGTCCATGGCAATGTCAGCTATCTTACACACATGGACAAACTGTAGGAGCAAAGCTCTTGTTCACATTCAGACTAAATGGTGTTCACATTTCTCTTCTGTTCAACTCTTAGCCTTTTCACACACAGCTAAAATTCACCGTATCTAGAGCTGATTAGTTTAAAGCTGTTTACCTCAACAGCTTTAAAGAAAATTTTCCCTGTGTGAATGTCGTAAATACGATGTTCGGATAGATACAAAGTCGCGATTCATACGCCATTCAAAGCATGCTGCAGATACGAAGTCCGTATCTAGAGAGCTTGACATTTTGTGTGTGAACGGTTATACGTGTTTAAACTGGATGGAGCGCGCGCTTTGTTTGATATGACCTGACCTTCAATGCGCAATGGCACTACTGCGCATTTTAAGAGCAGTTAATCATGAAACGAGCGCAACGAAATTTATGTGTGTGAATGATGTCGTATGTAAAGCTGATTGGTTTAAAGCTCTTTAAACTATTCAGGTTTAAAGAATTTTACTTGTTTGTGAAAAGGCTGTCTATCACATTATTAGAGGTTGAGTTTGGTATTATGAGCCTACAGAGCCCATAGTCTGATTTCTCGTGCTACAGCATGTTTTCCACATCTAAAGAGAGAGAGAGAGAGAGAGAGAGAGAGAGAGAAAGAGAAAGAGAAAGAGAAAGAGAAAGAGAAAGAGAAAGAGAAAGAGAAGAGAGAAAGAGAAAGAGAAAGGGACAAGGTTGATGGACCTTGAATGGCACAAAATCACAATGGAATAGTAGTCATGAAGGTCTACATAATTTACATTTATTAAGTACCTACATTAGTATACATTATATACCTCACTTAAGAAATCCAGCCATCTGATTGGTCGAATTTGCAGTTGTGATTGTAGCCGTTCCTGTAAAGAAACAAAAAATGCCAAAACCATATAATAGTCCAAGAGTAAAACCCAGCAAAATTTCAGTTACCAGGAAAATAATAAAATCTTGCTGCGATACCCATTGGTTTACGTGTTAAAATGTTCTTTGAGCAAGCGTGGACATCATACAGTGCTTTTTGTCTGCGATTCCCAACTGATCGAAAATTTCAGTCTGATAAACAGACAGTTTATCAGATTTTCTGTGATGTTTTAACCAATCTTTACTCGATAAAAGGATAAGGTAAGAATTCTTGGTAGATTTTTGTTTGAATTCGGCATATAAAAGGGATATCGACTGCTTTAATGCTCGAGGACTGGCTGTTTCTATACTGGCTCTCGGGAAAATTTGCCTTGAGCAAAAATAGCCAGTCCTCTCGTAGCAGTCGATATCTCTATACTACACATTTAGATGGAGAGATCTGGGCCTATATATCCTTACTAATACCCTGTTTATATCTGCCAAAAACACAAGGTAATGTGGCCTTCTGTTCGCTGTAATATAAATGGAGCACAAAGAACAAAGCGCGAGAATTTAATGAAGGTAGATTGACAACAATAACATGTTTTAGTGTCTTGAATGACATAAAAATATATATTTTATTAAAGACATACATTTGTTTGATACATGGTTGAATTTTTATGAAGTACATTTTACATAAAAAATCTGCTGCCTCCACTCAGCACGTGTTTCACTGATTGGCAATGTGTTCCCATGACAACATACCTTGCGTTCAGCCCAGACATGGGTCCTAATACAAACACGGGCCCAACACATCACTCGATGTTTTATAGCAGGGCAGGTAGAATGCCGCCTCGCGTGTAGCGTCTGGCGTGACACAAAGTGATCATACCAAGTGTACTGGTATACAGATATAAATGCGGTATTATAAGTAAAAGTTATTTGACAACTAGCCGAAAAATCTTTTTTTTATATGAGCTCTGGGCCCCGTCTTATAAACAGTTGCGATTAATCACAACTATGGAGATAGGAGACTGCAAACTTGCGATTGATCTGAAGACTTGCCATTGATTCGTATCAGTAGCAACTACATGTATATGTTTTTGCATGCGGGAGAGAATTTCTTTGTTTGATCTCTATAAGCTGACAAACATGTAGTTTCCCTTTTGACATGCTTTATTAATGCTAAGACTGTTGATTTACAAATACTTGATTAGGAACATTTCAATGTCAAATCAGCATGATTGTGTTTACACTATTCCTCTTTAATAAACATTGTGTACATGCATGTTTTAAATTGAGTGTATAAGCCTACATATCAGTACCAGTAGATGTACATGTAAACACATGTGAACCTTTGGGATTTAAGGTCATCGATTGTTATTTCCTCTCTTTGATAACCATTTGGCACAGTTTGTACCTTGATGGTTGATACATTATACCTATATGATTTGATCGCAAGGTTTGTTTGGTGTAGAATTAGACAGGAAAGTACATACATGTACAAAGATGTATGTAATGAAAATTGTAGAATTCGTGCATTTCAATATGCATTTTATGGAATTAACACTTGTAACTGAATCATTTTATTTGTCCTCTATAATACCACAGTATGAATATACCAAAATCTTATAACCCTTTTACACACATTAATCGTTTCCCATAGTGGCCATGATTAATGATGTACTTGAATGGGGCTGGAAACAGCCCGTTTTCAGTTGATAAAAAAGTAGTTGAACTATGCTTGAACAAATATTTCTGGAATTTTTGTAGAAAAATGATTATGCTCACAGACAAAAATGAAATATTTTGGTAGCATTGCTTGTTTTGGGGGCTGTCTTTCTGACTAGAAATGTTTTGATACGTGTTGAACCCACAGACGTATTAATATAATTAAGGAAAAAAATGTACCGGTAGTCCTATTTCAAATGGCAGTGAGTGGGATTCAGATGTAATACAAATAGCTATATTTTCGTAATGTCCACCATCGTTGATAGGCTTTTTTGTTTGTACGTGTCTCCTTAGATCAAGATAGTTATGTTAAGTTCCTTAATTAAAATTAAATTAAATTAAATTTTTACCGGGTAGAAGGGATATTCATGTACATGTATGTACGATATTTTCCTTATGAAATTTGTTAAACAATTGGTTAAATACATTATAAGCTTGTAAATATGTATTCACTTTCATAACATACTGAATAAAGTAGACCATGAGATGGTGAAAAAAAATTGCATGGTAATCTCACAAATCTGTGCATTTTTGCGCAAATCACAAGATATACCAATATTTCTGGTTCATACAAGAATTTTGAACAGGGGAAGACACTGGCATATAACGGCCATACATGTAATTGTTAACATTTGAAACCTATTTGCTTGCTTTCAGTTTCAGGGTTGGTCAGGAAGCAAAGAGTGAAAGAGGAACTCAAGGAATTCGACTATGAAAGACTGGCTAGTTGGACATGACAAGATGTGATATAAACACAGCATTGTGAACAGGGAAGCATCACAACCATGTACCTGTTATGATTGCTGAATGGAATAGAAAGCTGAGACAGCCTTCATGTAATAAGGTGGACATTAAGTCTGTCCAAGTGGTGATCCATAACATTGGTAGCAGATCCAGTACGTGTCAGATGTTCTTCAAAACAGCTGGTGCCAATTACATCCAGGCTTCTGAATGAGACTGAATCTTTGAGGAAGCAATCAAAACTTCAAAGTTAGACGCAGTGTTTCTGTCATACAGCACTTACATGGCCATGGAGGAAGTTTGCAATAGCATTTAAGGCAAATTTGATGTTGTACTTAGTGCTCCATTATAGAGTGATACCAGTAATCAGATTTATGAAGGGTTCTGATATGAAATTAGATCACGCAGAACGGAATGGGTAGAAAGGATTACAATGATAGATTAGTTGGTGATCCGGCTTTACTGATCTAAATCCCCTTGCCTCATGTAATCCCTACACCCGTTATGTACATAGATGTATAGCGACCCAGTCCACAACAGGAAGTCTGACCTTAAAAACTCTTGGACTAGCAAGAAAGGATTGAATGAGTAATGTCTCCATCTTCCACTCCAACATAGAACCAGGTAGCTAACGTTATAGATACTCTAACTATTGCTCTCAGTAATCTCAGGATTAAGAATGTGTGCTGCTGACATGTTCATGAAGTGATGTGTCAAACACGGAGGATTGACTGAAGGCAATAGGGGGATTAGTGTGGATAACATGATTAGAGGTCTGAACTATAAAGCTTAGTTTGTCCTTGTTGGATTAATACACCCACTGCAGTCTTACTTCTAGTGTCTGTCTGTCTGTCTGTCCTGACTGACAAACAAATACCTACATATTGAACGTGAAGGTATGACCATGTAGGTAGTAATTAACACATGGACACAAAAGCTATTGAACAAGAGCAGAACTATATTACATACATGTAGACAGCATATCTGTCTTTACAAATCATGTTGTCATTGACAATCAATGTGAAAGTAGAACAAACAACAGCTTCTTGGTGATAGCAGAAAAAATGTTACTATTTTCATCATAGATTTGTGTCTGTGGATGTAGAAATGATTGAAATGAAGGAGAGTTTATACTGTGAAAATATAAATTCCTGAAACTAACTTGAGAAGAATTCATTAACAAGTAAAGTGTGAGGAATCAAAATGGGAAGCAGTTCATCCAAGTTTCGGAAGGCCCTACATTCGGGGGATGAGAAGACAGCTGAAGAAATCTACCATCACAGCCAAGACTTTCAAAAGCAATTTGACCCTAATATATCATACGGAGAGAATTATGATCACAATACAGCTCTTCATTGCTCCTGTAGACATGGCATGCACAGGCTAGTCAGGTGAGTTTACATTGTCAGTGTGAATGAGGGAATGGCTAGTGCTAGATAACTGTGGGTGCAATGTAATCATGAAACAACTGTCAAGATTGAAATCATTTATTAATCTTACATTTCCCATAGTGGCCCATTCAATTTAAAAACATTGTGCAGTTAATATCTAGTACGACAGTGATACAGGTCTTCCTCTTTGTTTTACTGTTTACTGTATAGTCTGGTTGTTTCCATGGTGATAAGTTGAGTTGTGGATTTGATTTCAGATTGTTTCTTCAGAAGCACACTGGTAACCCTATCAAGCGTAACATGAGTAACCAGACCTCTCTACATTGTGTATGTATGGCTGATCTACCCCGCCCACCGTCTTCTACATCCAGCTATTCTCAGTACTATTACTCTCAGCCCCCTGAGAAGAAAAGAGCAGAATGTCTTCGTCTCATCCTCAACTGGCAAGGAATACCTATCGGTAATGGAGAAAGGGAAAAGATAGACATCAATGCAGTGGATGATGTAAGGAATCATTCTTTCTTTCCATTTGAAATTGATATATGCACAGTTCTTTCTCTGTGATTGCTCTCCTTGCTCTGATTGGTCCTCTTGAACTGACTTTTGCCTGCAAATACTTTTCCTAGCAGTTCCATAATGTACTTATTATTATTATTATTACTTGAAGTTTCTGTACGTGACATACTTTTAAAATCTAAATTAAAAAAATATGTTTTATTTTTCTTTGTCAGTGCCTGAGTACCTCAATATTTATTTATTTTTAATCCCTCCATCCTTTTCATAATCAAACCAACGGTATTTGTGTCTTTCTTTCCAATTAATTTTTTGTATATTCTCTAATCAACTGCTGTTCATCTCTATAACCCACAGGAGGGATGTACTGCCTTGCACTATGCATCAGCTGCTGGGTATAGGTCATTAGTAGAGGTAAGAAGAATCAACTCATTGGTTTATTGGTCTCAATCATTCATGCCCCTCGTCCTTTTCTCCCAACCATTAGAACTCTCGTAGTCAGAAGTACAAGTTCATGGACAACCCATTGTAACACATGCTAACTTTAATACATGCATTTCAATGAGTTGTTGATGAACTTGTATTTATAACGGTTTCGTGAAACACTGCCCAGAGTCTCATCACCTTCTACACCTATGTTTTGTAACTGTCACCCCTCGTGCTCCTCAACCCCTAGATCAAATACAAAATCACTGGTAGAGATTACAAACTTATGTTGGTTAAAACACAAGGCCCTGACTGTTGTGATCGGGTACCATATTCATTTTCCTGATCTTTAAAAAACGTTGCAAGAATCTCACACACATGTATCTCTCTCGTATAATCTCCTTTAAACATCCATATTTTTTTAAAGTATTTTATTGTCAGAGAAAAAATGCCTGCATAAGTCCTTTCTGTTCTTAGAAAGTCTGAATTAACCACTTTGAAAGTATCTGCATTTCTTACATTAAAATGAGCATGTGGGAGAGCACCAAAACTTCTTGCAGAGGTCACAATAAAGGCTCATTCAGTCATAATGTGGTTAAACAGTGGTGTTTCTTTTTTTTAATGATGACACAAAGTAAAATACACTTCATATTTCTATATCTTATAACACAGAGCTCATTGAATATGCACAAGTCCTTTGTATTACCCAGATGCCATTCCACTTAAAATACAGATGCAGCTTTTTTTGCATTGGTTTACCGTGCCGTATCTGAACAAGGATTTAAGAAGCAAAAATTCTCACATTTTACATCATTTGAATTTGAGGTGAACCTCAACATTCTTCATCAAATTGATTAATTTGGCAGGCAAATTAAAGCTGACCATATTTGTTAGTCATTTCTTGGCTCCAAATCCCTTATTTGGTAAGTCTCTAATGTGGGATTGAGGTGAAAAAAGTGAGTAGAAATGCCAGAAATGTTGCTAATATTTAACTTTACAGTTATATACATGTGGAATCTCCAATCAACAATTTTTTTCCCCATGAAATTTGAATGAACAAGTATTTGACAGCTAATATTATTTTTGCAGACGCTATTGGAGAATGGAGCAAGTTTATTTGTTGAAAATGGAGATAAGGAGACACCATGTGACTGTGCTGAGAAGAACAGATATTATGACATTGCTCAGCTACTAGAGTCCAAAATGGTCTTCTCGGTAAGTTATTTATTGTTCTTTTAACTTCATACTCTATTTCCAGATTTCATTTACATTACATAGTTTATCCGATCTTATGTAATTAGACTTCTTAAAAAGCATTTTTTATAACCATTTAAAAATAGATTAGAGAATAACAAAAGGTGAAACAAAAGTAATCTCATGATATCTTTGCACTAACATGTGTATGAATGAATTTCTGTTCATCTCTCGTATGTGAACTTGTACATTCCTGTCATTCTCTGGGATTTTTAACATTTATTTTCCTGTGTAGGTGTTCTTATATTTAAGAACTGGGAAACAACAGTTTTGGCATCACATGATAGCCAGTAATTCAATGTTCAGTTCATTGAACTTTGTGAACTTCTGTATAATATATCTTAAAATTGTGGTGTGATGTACAGTGTAACATAGTTTGAGCCAAAACTTTGCACTGTCAAAGCTGTTCCCTGCACTACAGCAGTTTTTTTTTGTGTTCGAAACAAGACTTTTTTCTATAGGAGTTGAAGAAAATAAATCAGTTGAAAAAAGAATTTCCTGAACAGGTTACCGATACTCATTATTTTTGGGGGGTGATGACATATTTGAGTGATGGTTTGATAATGTCATTATTAGAACATTGAACAGTATTTGTGATTCAATCTTTTCATTCTCCATTGTTCTGCTTTCTACCCTCTCCAGCAAATAAGTGATGATGAAGTAGTGGAGGAATTAAGTGCAATATCCTATGAAGAGGTAAGTACTGTGTGTGTGGAAATGATACATACTGTCTGGAGGTTGCCTGTACTGACTATGTGTAATCTAGGTCACTTAAAAAGAATATTAGCATTTAAGCTGGTATACATTTAATTACTCTTTCAATTTGAGTTCATGCTCAGCGGACCCATTTAGGAAGCACTAGAAATAGTCTGCAATTCCTTTTTGTTGTGCAGGGCGTGGAATGGGAGATTTTCGTGTGGAAGGGGATGGACGGAATGAATCTGTCTCAGAAAGACGGAATTGGTTCAGATTTAGGCATTTTTTTCTTTCTCAGTGTTTTTATTGTATACCATCAAATAAAAGAATATAGAAATTAACTTCAATGCTGACTGAGGGAAAGCATCTCAGAGAGCTTTGTATCCAGTGAGAAAGGCTCTGTACATTCTTACCATCATCAAAATGCATGAAATAGGAAATACTGGGATTACAGTGTATATCAACCTTTATCTTTCATGTCAACAGAGCTATGTTGGGCTAAAACCACAAGACTTACAAGAAGCCAAGGATGCCCTCGTTGTTGAGACGGCAGACATGCTTCGTGTTCCACTCTTCACAGCAGAAGCTCTTCTTAGGAACTATGGTGGGTATTTATTCTCTACATGAGTGGATCTCTAATCTATTTGTTTCCCTCTGTAGAATGGTCAAGAGAAGTGCTATTAGAAGAGTGGATCTCTAATCTATTTGTTCCCCTCTGTAGAATGGTCAAGAGAAGCGCTATTAGAAGAGTGGATCTCTAATCTATCTGTCTCCCTCTGTAGAATGGTCAAGAGAACTGCTATTAGAAGAGTGGATCTCTAATCTATTTGTCTCCCTCTGTAGAATGGTCGAGAGAAGTGCTATTAGAAGAGTGGATCTCTAATCTATTTGTCTCCCTCTGTAGAATGGTCGAGAGAAGTGCTATTAGAAGAGTGGATCTCTAATCTATTTGTTTCCCTCTGTAGAATGGTCGAGAGAAGCGCTATTAGAAGAGTGGATCTCTAATCTATTTGTTCCCCTCTGTAGAATGGTCAAGAGAAGCGCTATTAGAAGAGTGGATCTCTAATCTATTTGTTCCCCTCTGTAGAATGGTCAAGAGAAGCGCTATTAGAAGAGTGGATCTCTAATCTATTTGTCTCCCTCTGTAGAATGGTCAAGAGAAGTGCTATTAGAAGAGTGGATCTCTAATCTATTTGTTCCCCTCTGTAGAATGGTCAAGAGAAGCGCTATTAGAAGAGTGGATCTCTAATCTATTTGTCTCCCTCTCTAGAATGGTCAAGAGAAGCGCTTTTAGAAGAGTGGATCTCTCATCCTAAGGAATGCTGTGAGAAATCTGGAGTTAAACCACCCGAGGATCTTGAGCACTTGATACGAGACCATACCCTTACCACTGTAGAGAATGAACCTGGGAATCAGGTTGTAGCAGGGGATGAGATAGAGGTAAGCTTTCATCTTCACTTTCAATAAAACAATTCAATAATGGTTTATTAAAAAGCTTGTAAAACCTATTTCATATCTCACAGTTTGATAAATAAACTAGGCTTATACTTGTTTTATATCTTACAGTGTGATATATGTACTAAGCATATACTTATACAGTAGGCTTGCGGTTGCACCATGTGAGAGAGAGGGGGGAGGATTGGGGAGTCCTGAAAAGGACTCTTGGTAATCTTTCTTTCTTGAGGGTGTGTAGTCCTGAAAAGGACTGTTGGTATAGTCTTGAAAAAGACTGTTGGTAATCTTTTTTAGCTTATAGTTCTAAGGAGAACTATAGCGCTGGTTGGAGAGGATGGGTGGTAGGAGTGGCTCAAAGTTTTGAACAGGTTGATTATCCGTCAATTTTCGAGACTACCAACAGTCCTTGTCAGGACTCCCCACTCCTCCCCCCTCTCTCACATGGTGCAACCGCAAGCCTACTGTACATCCACATCACCATGCAAGCCGATGCTTATAAGCAGCATCAAAGCTTATACTTGTTTCATATCTTACAGTATGATCTACATGTATGTCCTGAGCTTATACTTGTTTTATATCTTATGTCTGTTTTATATCTTATATCTGTTTTATATCTTACAGTGTGATATATGTACAGAGCTTATTTCAAGGGAAGAATCGCCGGTAGAGATGCCTTGTCCTCACCACTTTTGTAAAATGTGCTGGGAAAGGTTAGTAGTCAACACAACATTGTTACAATAATGTAAAATACGAAAAAATGTTATTGCTGTTATTGTTTAGTTTCTAAACTAGTGTATGCTTTTGTTATTGAGTGTGATTTCATAATACAGAGGTTGACTCTCACAGGTGTCTGGTACCCATTGGCTCCTAAATCGTCTCTTGTGCTCCATACCATCAGTAGACCCTCGGTAGTCCCTCTGTAGACCCTCAGTAGACCCTCAGTAGACCCTCAGTAGACCCTCGGTAGTCTCTCGGCAGTCCCTCAGTAGTAATAGTTAATGTGGAGAAGTGCTTAATAGTTTACTAGAGATTTGAAATGATTTTAAATCAAGATATAATAAAAGATCCCAATATGTTTGTCATGTGGATGACTTTGTGTCTCCATCCATTTTTTACTCCTTGTTAATCATTTCATTAGAACAATTACAAGTTTATAAGTACATGTGGTAAGCAAGCAATATATTATTATGAGAACTCAATGGACACAATGTCTACGTACGCTGCAGATGCCTTAGTGGCTAGGGAATTGCATAAACTGTTTTTTTTTACATTTGAATGATATTCTGAAGTACAGTAATAAATCTATGAATTTATATGTCAATTTCATGAAGTGAAAGCGAAAAAATGAACAATGGGCTCTAGCATAAGGACCATACTCCTTTTTAGCTCATCCCTTCACTCATGTTTTTTTTTTTTTTTTTTTTTTTTTGTTGTTGTTGTTGTTGTAGGATGTATGATATTTTATGTGTGATTATTCCATATTTAATTGTATGTATTCTGTATTTTTAATGATGAGTGTAAATAAACGAACTTGAACTTGAACTTAAATTAGAGTTTAATTAAGTGTAGCAACTGCAATGATACACATATCTTTTGTTTTCTCTTGATACAGATATCTTTCAGGAAAGATTGCAGAGGGCAATGCTCATAACATCATGTGTCCTGCCTTTGAATGTTGTAAGCTCGTTCCAGTAGAGATCATAGAAGCTATTGTATCCAGGGAAATAGCTAGGAGATTCTTACAGTTTGATATCAAGGTATTTAAGTATTTTTATAGTATATTTATGTACATTTTCATGTATTGGCATTGTTTGCCAGTATAGAGATCACACTTTGAAGAAATGCATTTTATGCAAACTGTAATTTGATTCCAAATTTCCTGGGTTCCTTCCCATTTCTCAAGGAATTAAAAAAAAATTAAAATGGATATTGATATGGTTAACATGCTTATCACTATATGGATAGCATGATGTCCATTAAGAGACACATATGCTATTTCACTGCCTGAATTTGCTAACTTTGTTCTTACTGTAAGTGTGATATACCATAGATTTCTTAGCTTAAGCATGGAGATGGAATGAGAACTGATTCAATGAAACAAGCAGTTTGAATGCATATTTTTAGCTCAGAAGTTCCTTTTAAATTTCACATACTCACAAATGGGTCTGTCATAAGGGGCATTCTTTATGTTTCTTTATAGAGATGCAAGGCTGTTCATGAGCCTTCTCAGCTTCCAGTGCCTACTATTCATGCCAATGGTACAGTACTATTGAATTATATAGCATTGTCTTTGTAATATTGTATTCTAAACACATGTTTTTTCTTTCTGTTTTGTATGTAGGCCTTTGTTGATACGAATCCAAGTTTGAAGTGGTGCCCCAAGGGTGGTTGTGGTCAAGCAGTCAAACTGCCTCTAAACACTGACCCTGTATCCCCTAGGGATGTATCCAGTCCGTCTGCTCCACCTCCAATGTCTAAAGCAGTTGATTGTGGATGCGGTCATCTCTTCTGCTGGTGAGTCTTCATATTTATCACAGAATCATTTCTTTTTAGTAATAGGTGAAATTGTTTCAACTCATTTATTCATGTTTATTTGCTAAGTTTTCCTTCTTAAAGTGACCTCCTATGAAGCTATCAGTATTCCTTTTAATGCAATATGACAATGATATCAAACTCATATTATGTAATACAGATACAGTCATAGACAACCTTATTGAACCAAAATGCTTTTCTGGTAGTGTTATTTCTGTGGTAAGAAGAAATAACCATCAAAGCAAGGTGCAATTGTTGTAAAAGTATGGTGTTCATTCAGGGAAGTATTATAAAGAAAACAATAATTCATTAGATTTATGTACTATACATGCTATCCTGTTACAACAAAGCTACAAACAGATGAACAATACAATATAGTCTTTGTAATTTGGTCTTAATATTCTTCTACAGGGATTGCTCTGGTGAACCTCATGATCCATGCAGCTGTGAGAACTGGAAGAAATGGAGTGAGAAAATCGCAGAAATAAAACCAGAAAAACGTGAGATTGTCGCATCAATCATAACGATGCATTCATATAAACCACTTGCATTTACATATTTGTAAAACATTGGATGTTGCATGCAATTAGTAACTTTGAGTTTTTTGTTTGAGGTGGTTGTATATACGAATATTGGTTATAGAGGAATTTGCTTAGGATTAAATGTGGATACTTGCATCCAAATTTTGTGAGAAGTGGTTGAATGTTGAAAGCATCTGGAGGGATGTATGCATTCTAAGGAGTGGTGAGAGATTGATTCAAGTAAAGTAAATCTATGGTCCTATTCCTCATACAGACTGAAATATTAATATCCAAATTAGTACCTTGTTCAACTTATATTACTCTGGAAGTGCTGCTATTATCAGTATATGATTAAGTGTACTAGAGTTGACTTTACAAGCATATTGAATGATAAAAACGTTTTACAAGAGTTCTATTTTAATATTCTGTCATCAGAAAAACTGAAATGTGGATGACTTTCATTCAACCAACTTCACTTCAATATTTACCCTTCATTTGCATGTAATTGCTTGATCCTTCATCTCTACAGGTATGTTTCATATACATGTAGAACAATGCTAACCATTCCTTTCTGTAGAGTTGAGTGTAAAAGGAGAGAAATAAATGTTGTTTTGGTGCTCCAACCTTTTCCCGCCTTCATACAGTGAGTAAAACTGAAGAGGAGACTGAAATTGCTGCAAACTGCCTGTGGCTTATAACCAACTCTAAGTCCTGCCCTAAGTGCCATTCTCCTATCCAGAAAAATGAGGGATGCAATCACATGAAATGTACTAAGGTAATATGGTGTGTTGCCATGGCAATGAGTAATTGATGGCTGTAAGATTGGATTAAATAGAATATATCTTTGTATGCAGTAAGTATCATGGAGGAATTAAGTAGTTAAGTATTGAATCATTTGTGAAGTAATATAATATGTTGCTATGACAATGATGATCAATAAGAAATGTATAGTTGTGAAAATAGATGCAATCAGGGGAATAATGAGGAATTGAATTAGGAAGCTATTTTTTCTTTAATGCTGTTGTACAGCAAGGTCTTTATCGAAACACGAGGTTTAGATATTAGAAGTGATTATGGGGTAATCGATATGATGGAAGGAAGGCAATGGTTATTTGAATATGATTTTTATAAACGCTTAGTTATGGAAAGGGTGGCATTGCTCAATGCCACAACTTTGAATACAAGACCCCGTATTTCAATACTTAAAGATAAAGGTGAGTTCTGGTAAAAAAAAGAAGAAAATGAATTCTCACAGAATCAAACGAAACTCACATCGAATGTTCAAGATTACAAATAAATGTCATTTGCCAAACGATTTTGGTAGAAAATGTATACTGGCTGAGTAATGAGCATAGAAAGATTAGGAAATCAAGGTTAGTAGCCCAGAAACCATTTGTGTAGTCCCATATACATCTTTCTGTGTACAGTGCTTGTTACTTTACCAAGACTGCCAAATTTATCATGATTTTGATGACTCCAGAACTTTGCGGTACACACATATACACTTACATGCTACATGATCATCTTTTTCTGATCCATTCCACACCTTTTCTTGTACAATGCAATTGGATGACCAGAACTCACCTCTATCTTTAATTAGGGGCCAATTCATACAGACCATAAATTTTCAGTCTGGATCTCCCATGAAAAAGGTAATGGGTAACACTAGTTATTGAATATTATATTTATGCTGCTACATGCACATGTTTATGACTATGAGTTCTGATTCTATTTTAGCGTGGAACATGTTTGTATTTTATTTTACTAAATCATTTGTTTCTTTCTTTAATTGCAGTGTAAATATGATTTTTGTTGGGTGTGCCTTGAAGTATGGAGCAAGCATAGTTCTGAGACTGGGGGTTATTTCCGTTGCAATCGTTATGAGGCCGTCCAAAAGGTGGAAGAGAAAGCAGAGGGTCTCATGTCAGAGGTCAGTGAGTGTGTGTCTTATAATATGATTAACACAACATCTTTGTAGAAGTACTGCTTTGACTTGATGTGATTTGATTTATTGGTTTCTTCTTGCATCATCTGCTGTAGTCAAGTAATATTAAAAAAACACTACTGCTGTACTAATAGTAATCTATACTTGCCAATCTTTACTGAGATGTAATGAATTAATGTGTACATTGGAGGGATTAATTCCATGAATGGTATGAGCATTGTGCGCGCCCTAATTTAAGGTAGCTGAAGCCATGGTAATTATGGAGAGCTAGAGCACCTGGTGCATCAGAGGAAAGAGTTATATTTCAAGATGCTAATATGATATAAATCTCAGTACCTAATGTACCAGACAGTGATATATCAATGAGTGACATAATCGTGTGTGTCATATTTGATTCATGAAGGTCTTTCCCCTAGCATTGTCCTTGTGATCTTAGATCGTGTTTACTTTGTCATCTCACATGTATTTTTTGATAAGGGTTGAGAGGATGAATGATCAGTGTTTAGATAGTCCGTATCACAATGAAGTGTTAATGTCTTGACTTTAGCAGAACAATGAATATACAGTTCAGTAAGTAAGTACCAATTACTATACCCAGATCAAAGAGAGGAAATTCTTAGGGTCCGACAACCACCGTGGTACTGAAAAATAATTGCAAATCATGCTGGCACACCACCTTTATATTTGCCTATTAATATTATTACATGTATGTTGTACAGGAGTAAAGTCTGATCTCTACGTTTATACTGTAATATCACCTGTTGTCTTTGCTCTCAAATATATTTCCAAGTATGTCCATTTTTTATTTTGTTTGTTTTGTTATTAGGCTGAGAAGCGTAATAAGGGGATGCAGGAGTTGAATCGTTTCCTTCACTACTACACAAGATTCCGTAACCATGAGAACAGTTATCATCTAGAAGAACCTCTACTAAGGAAAGCACCAGGGAAGATGAGGAAATTAGCTTGCCACTCAGATGCTAAAGGTTTGTTGATACTAAGATCAAACTGTACATTGTATTTCCTTATACTTATAACACTTTCTTTTACTGTAAGTTACTTTTGATATACATGTAATGTTGTAGAGAATGCCATATTTACATGAAATACCAGTATTCAACTCAACAATATATTGCTTCAGTTATTCCATTCAATGCCTGATATTGAATTGAAAGCTTACAATATAATGCTTCTCTCTTTTGTGACAGCTTCTAAAGAAGAAACTCAGTTCATTGTTGATGCAATCCATGAGCTGCTTGCAGCTAGACATATACTCAAGTTCTCCTACCCTTATGGCTTCTACCTGGAAGACAGAGGGGGCAGCAAACAAATCTTTGAATTTATGCAAGTAAGTGATTACACACTTCAAACATTTTAATATTCATGGAAGATAGGAATGAATGCTACATGTACAGTACATACAAGTAAACAAAAAGACAATGATGATTTCCAAAGACTCCTCTTACCTATGAGAGTTAACACTTGCATTCTTTTTCCAAATAGTTAACATATAACTACATCCAACAAATTTCTTTTCAGTAAAATATTTCCTTACCTCGTGTCAGCCTCCACTCTCTAAATTGAAAGTGAATCATGTATGCCAATATTGCCTTTTTCATTTTGCAACAGTCAAGTAACTTATTGCTTCATGTGTTGATACCCAGAATATAGATTATGCTCAACATGGTTATTTCTTAACTGCTAATGGCAACTGCAATGTTTTAGAACAAGGTCTTTGGTATCTCTTGAATTAATTCATAAATAAATCCCAAAATAGGATTATTTTTGGTAAACCAACAACACAAAGCCTAAAAATGATAATGGGAATATTGGTCATGACCGATGGTTTCACCATTCCAGTACTCATCTTTTTCTTTACTGCTGTTGATTCAATGGAGCTAACTCTGCTAGTATTTATAAAAAGATAAATTATGTTGTTATATACACCTATTATTTCAGAATGAATTGGAGGAGGCATCAGAGAACCTCTCCCAAATGGTTGCTAGAAACTACCTACGTACACCCCGTACTAAGATCATCCAGGCTGCTCATCTTACTAAGAGGAAACGGTATGAGTTCCTTTCAGCTGTAAGTAAAGGGTTCCTACCACCAGATGTATCCTCAGACTCACCACAGAGGAGAAGAAGAACAAGTTCATCTTGGTCCTATCAAACATGGGATGATGACTCAGGGGATGAGGTAAGACCTTTATAGACATCATACATGTATGAGTGGATCCGTTGACCTTTAGGTATGATGGACATCATACATGTATGAGTGGATCCGTTGACCTTTAGGTATGATGGACATCATACATGTATGAGTGGATCCGTTGACCTTTAGGTATGATGGACATCATACATGTATGAGTGGATCCGTTGACCTTTAGGTATGATGGACATTAAGGCTGCGACGGGTAGTCGAATGCTCGAGTACCCGCACGGTTGACAACTACTCGGGTACGATTTCTTGTACCCGAATATTCGGCCGCAAAAAAAAAAAAATTAAAAAAAAAAAAAAAAAAAAAAAAAATGTCCAGGCCCACGCTTACCCGTGCCAGGGAGAGCGGCGTCCGCTGGCATGGTACCGTCGGTAAAAATGTTTCCCAACTCAAGCACTGTCAAACTCACCTTTCAGAAACTGGGACCAAATGTCCAGATTTCTGTTTGGACTTGGAGGAAAATGGATTATTCTGCCATCTTTGGTTTTTAAAACAGCATTGTTTACTGTTATTATTCTTATTAAATCGGCGCCTTCAACTGCAACTCAAAGTAAAGTTGCATGCGTTTTCAGCGAGGGTCCTGAGAAACTGCCGAGTGGTATGGTAGTGGCAAAAAAGGAAAAAAAAGGAAAAAAATCCAAAAATCCAAAAATTCAAAAAAAAATCAAAAAAATTCAAAAAAAATCAAAAAAATTCAAAAAAATTCAAAAAAATTATAAAAAATTATAAAAAAACATGGCGTCCGAATTTTCGGGTATTCGCCTGGTAGCCTGGGAGTGTACTCGGGTACCTCGTTACACTGTTGTGCACAGCCCTAATGGACATCATACATGTATGAGTGGATCCGTTGACCTTTAGGTATGATGGACATCATACATATATGAGTGGATCCGTTGACCTTTAGGTATGATAGACATCGTACATGTATGAGTGGATCTGTTGACTTCTTATGACATTGTGAAATATTACTGGTGTAGAGTTCTATGTTTTATGTTTATTTCACAAGTAACAAAGAGAGATGATAAGTAATACAATAGTGAGATATATTGATTTTTTGTTTTGCCTCATGAGAATGAATACTAGTACGACCATAACCCAAAAACAACAATATCCAGCTTTCTGTCCATGCTTGATTTTACTCTGATGATTTTAAGATGAAAAGCTTCAGTATTTCTTCATTTAAAAACTTGCTCTAAGTGACAGTAATATCACATGTGGAATCAGTGACATTGTATGTATAAAAATTCACTTATTCCTTTTCATTTCAATGTTTCAGAATGATGAAGCTCTGAGACGAGCTATTGAAGAATCCATCCAGGATGCCATGGCACAGTCTCAGAAACAAGAACAAGATGAAGATGACTCAACGACTGATTTATCCAGAGGAAGGATGGGTACTGAACAAAGTCAAGGAGGTATGTACATCCCCCGATGTCAGAGTTAAATCTTACATAACAATTACATTACAACTCGGGACCTCAGTCAGTAAGAGCGTTCTATCAAAATGTATACAACACCTACTAAGATTCTTGCAACCTCATTGGTCCGTTCTTAATCACATGACATGCACTAAAAGTAATGTTCAATGGCATCATTCTCCAGGCGTGCAATTTCGTTTAATCAATCTGCACCATTGCACGCTGAGGTCACTAACAATGTACAAAGTATATTGTGAGGTAAGTGACGTCACCGTGCAATGGAACAAATGGATCAAACGAAGTTGCACTCTGACGTTAGAGGCATGGTTTTGCTGCCTGCTTAATAATAGTGCGAGCACAATATCAGTAATTTCATCAATACAAAACAAAAAAACTCGCTGAGATTTGTACTAGGCCTAGGAAAACAGTTCTTTAAGAAAAAATTATTTTAAGCCTGTGAACGTCTGAGGTGTTGTATAAAACAAATAGTGAATGGTCTTCATTCATGCAATGAAACAAGATTTCGCATTTGGTGAAAGATGAGACGTAGCTCTATTCAATAGAGTGTCTCTTATCTTTCACCTCATGCAAAACCTTCCGCGCTCATGGCCATTCACTATTTGTATACTAATCTCTAGGTTGTAAGGTGCAATGGTGAAGATATGAGATGAACCATTAATTGTATCTATATCATTCTGTTCTTCAAGGTTCTTCCACCATGACAGCAGGATTGCTTCGTGCCTTAGAGATGTCACAACTACTTCTTATGCAGCAAACTGAGATGCTAGACACCCCTACTACTAGAGTGGATCAACCCTCTTCCAGTACTGATACTGAACAACAGAATCCTGGTGATGGGAGCAGTCCATCTACAAGGTAGGGATGTGTTTTCTGCATTATAGAAATGTAAAGAAAAAATATTGAAAAAGAAACATTTTAAATTGTTTTGGCAAATACAATTTCTTTTATCATTTTCAAAAAGAGAATGGCATGCACTTTGAAAATAATGGAATAATAATTTAGAAGTTGAGTTTTTCAAATCTGTATTCTACTCAGTTTTTGTTTATATATCCTTCGTCATCTGGCCTTTTTCCTATTACGATAAGGGCAAATACATATATATATAATCAAACATGCAGCCACCCAAAAAGATTACCAGTAAGCTTTATTTTGTAATAAACGGTTTTATGCCTCCGTTACGAAGTAGCCGGAGGCATTATGTTTTCGGGTTGTCCGTCCGTCCGTCCGTACGTCCGTCCGTACATCCGTACGCCCCGTTCTCGTCATCGCGTTACCTGAAGAACCGATTGATGGATTCCTGCCAAACTTTGGTCATGTATGTATCTTGCAGAGCCGATGAACTGATTAGATTTTGGTGTCACAAGGTCAAAGGTCAAAGGTCACAGGGCTCATTATGTATGCAAAAACAGCTAGTGATCGCGTTATCTCAAGAACCGATTGATGGATTCCTGCCAAACTTTGGTCATGTATGTATCTTGCAGAGCCGATGAACTGATTAGATTTTGGGGTCATGAGATCAAAGTCAAAGGTCATGCAGCTCATTATATATGCAAAAATAGCTTGTGATCGCATTATCATTAAAAAAGATTGATGGATTCCTGCCAAACTTAGGTCATGTATGTATCTTGCAGAGCCAATGAACTGAGTAGATTTTAGGGTCATGAGGTCAAAGATCAAAGGGTCATATATGTATATGAGAAATTGCTTGCAATCATGATATTCTTAGAACCTGTTAATGGATTACAATGAAACTTGAAGTTGAAAAATTTCTTCTGTTTTGGTTTGTAAACTTGCTCTATGACGGAAGCATCATTTTCGACTGCGCGCAGTCGAAGTTCCATCTAGTTATATTATGGATCATGTCCCATTCACAGGATAAGTTTCTCACAAGAATTGTGTAATGATAGCCTGCTTCAATATAAAGAATACTTTGTTTTATTTACAGCACTCTACTGTCTTCAAGATTGTCTCCTAAACGAGGAAAGAGCCCCAATAGCAAAGAGCCCCAGACCTCAGCAACAGATAGTAAGTCATGATTGTACCTTCTTTTGTATTTGCATTTGCATTTATAGCGCCATGACATCATGCCTGACGGACCTCGTGCGCTTTATAAGAAGCCACCATTATTATTATTATTATAAGGTCAGTCGCCTATTTACCCAAGGGGCAGTAGCCCTGACTGAAGTCGGCTATTGCTGAGACTGGCCCCATAGATTCAACTAGATTTTCAGTAAAGGCCATGTATATTTGTTTTATTTCCATCATTCAAAAACTAAATAAATCATAAGAATCAGTTTGTACCTTGAATATGACAAAAATGAATACTTAATCTTAAGGATGCTGAAAAAATCATATAAAATGGAAGATTTGACTGGAATATCATGATTGTGGTATCAGATCAAACAGAAAATCGCAAGCTTTCTCCTCACACTAATATCTTATTCATTGAGCGAATGGGAACCAGCGATAGCCAATCAGAAGGGCCCTTGTCAGCGCCAATTAAGGAAAATGAGACTGATACCAGAAATGGGCATGCGCTAGATGTAAGCTAAAGTTTTACGTGGCACGGAGGTTGTGATGATATTCGGAAGCACGTTGGGAGCAGACGGCACACAGGCGAGAGCTTTGAGCACGAGAACCCTTTTGACTTATTTCACCAAACAAGGGACAAGCGAGGATGGGATTGTTGTCTGATGGTTGTCCCCCTCTGGATCTTTCTGGAGTTTGTGTGCAGAAGTCGGAGTGTATACGAGATCTTGGTGTAGCTTTCGACAAGCACCTCTCCTTTGCTCAACTTATACGCAACAAGTGCAGGACAGCTTGTTGGGAAATTGCTAGGATTGGCAGAATCCGAAAGTATCTCAACAATCCTTCTACGGAAAAACTTATCCATGCATTGGTCTCATCTCACCTCGATTATTTTAATAGCCTTCTAGCCGGTCTACCTCAATCCCACATTGCACCCCTTCAACATATCCAGAATACTGCCGCTAGACTAGTCACACGTACCAAGAAATCTGAACACATTACCCCAATTATCCAGTCTCTTCACTGGCTACCGATACAGGAACGCATTGTCTTCAAAATCCTCCTCCTTGTCTACAAAGCTATCCACAACCAAGCCCCCTCATACCTACAGAACATCATCTCACTCCGATCCTCATTAGCCTCCTCTGCATCTCGACGTTTACGCTCCCATGCTACTGCCCACCCTCAACTGCTACCTGGACCTCGCACCAAGACACGCTACGGAGACCGCTCATTCACAGTCATTGCCCCCAAGTTATGGAATAATCTCCCCATTTATATACGAGAAGCCCCTACATTAGAATCATTTAAGTCTCTCCTGAAAACCCACCTCTTTCCATAATTGTGATTACCCTCCCCCTCCCCAAGTTATTTATTCAGTAATTAATACTACCTTGCAGTTTAATGATGTTGTATAGTATTAATGACTGCTTTGAGAGAAATAGTTGTTTTTATACGCTCAAGGGAAGGTTAGAATTGTGCTATTACCCGAGGCGTGCCGAGGGCAATAGCCCAATTGTAACCTTCCCGAGAGCGTATAAAAACAACTATTTCTCGAATATTAAAGCAGTCATTAATACTTTTATATGCCGAAAAAAAATAGACTAAAAAATAAAAAATAAAAATAAAAAAACTTTTGACGAAGATGGGAGTCGAACCCATTGCGCACTAATGTGATGTATTTACAGTCAGCGCCTTTAACCACTTGGCCAGCGCGCTCTGTCACCATCTCGCGCAGTTTTCTCTAATATATACATTAAAATGGATTGAAAACGGCTTCGCGTGGTAGATGCTTCGCCGCTGCTCCATTAAACAGGCCCTTCTTTTACTTTTGCAATGCATATTGGCACGAACTTAGATCAAGGTCTATCGGCAGATGTTGTTTTTTTGTTTTTGGAAGTTTATTTTCGTCTTCATGTCAACAATGCAAGATAAAATTGTCGGTAAGATCGATCGAGATTCAATTGTATTGAAATTACCGACCAATTCTTCGCACACGTACGGTATCCTCGATCGCTCAGACCATTTTTTAACATGTAAACCTATGGGGTAACCATGGAGACTGACCTATTTTCCCAATAACCATGGTTATTGGGATTTTGAACTGTTTTTTAACCATGGTTACCGGGAATTTTCGGGAACAGTTAAAGTTTATGAATGCAATTTCAACCAATCAGATTGCTGGATTACTTAAGTGAGGTATATAATAATTTCTATTTCATGAATATAATAATTTGTATTTAAGTTGTATTTGAATATTTCACATGGTTTATGATAATTCTGATTCCATATCTGGTTTATTTATAATTTCAATTAATTTTGATGCGTCCTTATTTTACAGTTTAGTGATATTGCATTTTAATGATATTGTAATTTCTTTCGCATAATGTTGTATAATATGTATTTTAAGATGCACAATTGTTAGATTATATTGAATATAATAATTTGTATTCAAGTTGTATTTTGATATTTCACATGGTTTATTATAATTCTGAGTCCATATCTGGTTTATTTAATATATTTCAATCAATTTCGATGCAGTCCTTATTTTGTGTAATGTCACATTCTTTTTTGCCGTTTACTTGTAATTCAATGTTTTTAACATGTTTCTTTAGTATTTCTCACTTTTCCTTCCTCATCCTTTCTTCTTTCTCTTGTGCTTAGAAACATTGTATGAAGCGCATTATAAATGTAATATATTATTATTATTATTATTATTATTATTATTATTGTTACCCTAGCCGAGCTTCTCTTTACTAGATTTATAGTGGAACATAACTTTTTTACATGTATATTCCATAAAAGTGCACATTTAATGTTTTTCTGTAATTTGTATGTTATCAACAACAAAAAAGGGAATTATGTTACTAGATACAGATGTAAAATGCTCCAAAATGAGGCTCAAATTGAGCAGACAAGCTGTGTTATGCTTGCATTTTTCTTTTTTTCATTAAGAATATGATGATTACTCAAAGAAATGTATAAAACGAAATAAAATTTACAGACTGATTTGTAAACAACGTCTTTTTCTCCCCATTTCTCTGTGTTTCAAGGTTTTGATGATGATTTCAAGCTAGCTATGGAGCTATCACTTCAAGATTCTGGGAAAGCAACAAAAGGTGAGATGAAATTAATATCTCGTTTCTGTATTTCTATACTGTATTTGCCGGCGATAAGGCTGCAGCGCCACATAGGCCGCACCCCCAACTTTGACATTTTAAATAGGGAAGGGAAAAAAAAAAGAAGAAAAAAAGGAAAAAAATAAACAAATGGACAAAACAAAATAATTGTAATTTTCTCATAAAACACTTATTTTTTTTACAAACTGATACCAAATTCATCAATATTCTTATAATTTACTGAAAGTTTAGCTAAAAAAATTATCACAGGCAGATTTGGTGTCCAATATATACCCTACCACAATGTACGGTGTAATGCAAAATTACACAAAATGGATTCAAAATGGCGACTTCGGCTGGATGTTTCATGGCAGCTCCGTTAAACGGTCCCTTTTTTTATTTTTGCAATGCATTGGCACGAACTTAGATCAAGATCTATCGGCAGATGTTGTTTTTGGAAGTTTATTTTCTTCTTCATGTCAACAATGCAAGATAAAATTGTCAGTAAGATGTGTGGAAATGTCCTGTACCATAGTGGTATAGTTATTGTAGTCCCATATGTGCTAATTCGTGCTGTTTTTTCATCGTTTTGACTTGCTTCTTTTTTTTTTTACTCTTTCGCCGCTAAGGCTGCACCCCGACTTTTTGTTATTTTCTCTTCCAAAAATACTGCGGCCTTTACGGCGGCAAATACGGTAATAGAAAGTATTTTGTATTATTGTCATCCTTCATAAAAGTTATACTGATTGGGAGGATATTTGTACATGTATTAATCTATATGTCATGTTATTACTTTTCACGATGTCGAAAGCTACCACCAGTATGTTATTTTGTTGTCGTTGTGTTTATTGTTACACACACACACACATCCACACACACAATAATGCAGTACTTTTACTGGATTGTAGAGCAGTCCAATGTATACTCCCTCCATTTCTTTCATATCACAGATGAGAACAGTACTATAAAATGATTTCTTGTGATTCTGAAAAACATCTTCATTCATCCCACTATGGTCCTATATGGTAACAAAAAAAAAGGAAGAAGAAGAGATCCAAAGTTTGTATGCCTCATGTTTTGGGGTTGTCCATCTGTTGTTGTTGATTCAGTTTATTATGATTAAAAAAACATTGTACTTGCTGCCCAAGGGCTGAAAATGTTCAATTTACAAAGTACAATATGGAGAATAAATACAAATCAAGATGGAAATCAACAAGTACCAGATATCAATCATTATGTCCAATTAAAACTAATGTTCTTTCGCCGCTAAGGCTGCACCCCGACTTTTTGTAGTACATCAATCCAGCGCTCAAAATACACGGGGGCGGTGGGCGATTCGCCCCCGTGAGCTACATAGTCGCCCCCGTCAGGTTGCTCACGGGGGCGATTGCAAAATTAAAAATCGCCCCCGTGGAATTATAAAATAAAGATTATCTTTTCTGTTATAACTTTAACACAATATTGAGTTTCAATTTACAAACCTTAAACCAATGAAATGGAACTTAGATTAGCGTGCAAGATTTTTCGTTCTATGAGTAGGCCTATTATTACCGATTCAGCTCGCAGTGCAGTGCCGCCGTCAGCAGTGGTTATAGGCCTACTGCGCCGTTAGTAAACGGTACGTGTGCACGCTGCCGCGCCATGTCTGCTGGAGCTATGGAGGCGATCGCGCAAGGGCAGAAGTTTTTCGTTGTGAAAGCGTAAACCCGCTGAAATCTGGTGATTTCAAATGACCAGCAAATAATGAACCTCGACCAGTAAATCAATATTAGGGACTTTTAGATTTGCACGATGAGAACATGGACTGCAACGTGTGACCTCCTTTTAAGGCACTGCCAGTGCTTAAAAGGACGTCACATGTGACTACCAGTGCCTTAAAAGAACACGTCCACGTCCACGCAAATCTAAAAGTCCCTATTGAGAAGAAGAGGAAGACCAAGATGTCGTGGAATGATATGGTAACCTGGGCAGATCAACGGGGGGGGGGGGGGGGGGGGGGGGGGGGGGGGGGGTTAGGGGTTTAACCCCCTCCTCCCCCTCCCCCCCCCCCTCCCCCGGCCCCCTTGGCCTGCCAAGTGAAAATGTGATGTGCATAGAAAAACGCCATTATGTGTCCAGATCGACCCACACAGTAAGATGTTAGTAGATGCAAGGAAAACAATACGGGGGTTCAAAATAGCAACAACAAAAAATCGCCTCGCCGATATGCGGCTCGTGGACGATGCTTCGCATGTAAGTAGATGCCAGGAAAACATCACTTATGGGGGTCCTAAATCAGGGGCGGATCCAGCCGGCGGCAAGAGGGGGGGGGGGGCCCAAATCTTGAGAAAATATTTAGCGGCGAATCAGCCAGCCGGCGATCGACGAATGAGCGGAGAGGGGGGGGGGGGCTGGATAAATGCACATAAGTTTAGGGGTTCCAGTTTTTGGGGAACATTTTTGCGCCGACTCAGCCGGCCGGTGAAAATTAAAGTGGGGTGGGGGAATGCTGGAGAGGAGGACCACTATTTTTTTTTTTTCAGGGGGGGGGGGGGGAAAGGTGAAGCACCATTTTAGCATGACTTTCTTTTTAACTCTTACTTTCACCTATCTCAGATAACCCTAAGTTTTTGGGTGCTGCTTTATATGTAGTTGATAATGCATGATTAAAATAAAGAGAGAGAGAGAGAGAACCACCATCATTTTGCAATGGTTCAGGGTTTGTGTAATGTACATTTGAAACCATTTCTTAGCGTCTCAACCCTAAAAAAATAGCGAAACTATTTTTGAGGAAAAGCATTATACTGAACTGAATAAAGAATATTAGCTTTATATTGGCTCATACTAATACTGATACCGGCTAAAGACAATGTGGTATTTGTATAGAGGTATTCCAAAATGACATTCTGATAATCAACATTTTGTTCTGGTATCATTATGTATATACGCATAATACAACTGATCTTTATGATTTTTTAACGTGACATAGCTTCTTCTCCCCCTGCAAACAAAAAAGAAAACAAGGTTATTTAATAAAAGGATCATGCGACAAATTATCATTGTGATTCAAATTGTGCTAGGATTTTTTGGAATAAGCAATGCTTTTCACCAGAATCTTCTTTGTAAAAACGGCTATTACAAATCTCAGCCATGCAATTCTGCCACTGTGTTGTAAGATCACTTTCAGATTAGAAGAAGTGTATTCTTTAATGAGTATTTTACATTGAATGGAACGTCTCAACTCAGTAAGCATGGCTGAGATTTGTAAAAGTTGTTTTTACAAAGAAGATTCGGGTGAATAGCAGTGCTTATTCAAACAAATATTCGCATCAATTTGAATCACAATCATTATTTGTCGCTTAATCCCTTTTAATGACCTTGTTTTCTTTCTCGTTTGCAAGGGGAGAAGAAGATATAATAATAATAATTAACAACATTTGTATAGCGCTTATCACAAAATATGTCTCTAAGCGCTTAAGAAAAATAGAAAGAGAAGGAATTACAGCCAAATATTAAGTTATACATAATAGATAGTGGACAATCGAGGGGGCTGCATATGCAAATGAAAAAGGCTATTTAACAAAAAAGTAGGTTTTTAACATGGATTTGAATTTGTCTGTTGAATCTGCTTGTTTTATACATTGAGGTAAATTGTTCCAGAGTTGAGGGGATGCTGCATAAAAAGTTCGGGAACCATAAGACTGGGTATTGGTGGCAGGAACTATTAAGAGTGATTTCTTGTTTGAGCGCAGGTTGCGGGAGGGTAAGTATTCTGATATCAGCCTTTGAAGGTAGACTGGAGCTGTTTTTGTCAAACATTGGAAAGTCAGCAAGAGGATCTTAAAATCAATTCGTTCCCGGACTCTTAGCATGTGAAGCTCCTTCAACAGTGGAGTGATGGACTCACGTGAACGACGCTTTGCAATAAGTCTAGCAGCTGAATTTTGTACTCTCTGCAATTTGTTAATTTGTGCATCAGGAAGACCATACAGAAGACTGTTGCAAAAGTCAATACGAGACATGACCAGTGACTGAACAAGTCTCTGGGTGGTCTTTTTAGTAAGAAACTGACGGATGCTACCGATTTTATGCAACGCAAATGAGGCAGATCTGCATACGTTGTTCACATGAGTCTTCAGAGATAGATTATTATCAAATGTGACCCCAAGGTTTCTAGCACCTGTAGAACATTCTATGTCAGTACCATCAAGATATACATCATCAATCGGACTACAAGTCCTATGTCTGCTAATAAAGTGTATACACTCCGTCTTATTTTCATTTAATTTCAATCCATTCTGTATGGACCAATTCTTAATGTCTGTAAAACATGCACTGAGTCTTTGTAGAGCAACATCATGGTTATCCTTCTTTAGCACGAGGTAAATTTGAGTGTCGTCTGCATAAGTCATACACGATATGCCATGGTGTTTAATGACATCCTCTAATGGAGACGAGAAAAAGTGTTAATGCTAACGGACCGATAACAGATCCTTGGGGTACTCCGAAGTTCGAAGAGCTGACATGTGACTCACAGTCGCTAACAAAAACAGACTGAGTTCTGTTAGTGAGGTAGGATCGAAACCATTCCAAGGCTGTGTCTTTGAGTCCAAATCTATCATGCAAACGGCTTAGAAGGGCATCATGACTCACGGTGTCAAAGGCTGCAGAATAGTCCAACAGCAACAGAATCGCTTCATCGCCTTTATCCAGGGAAAGTAGAATGTCATTTGAAACTTTTAGCAGGGCAGTTTCACAACTATGATGTGGCCGGTATCCTGATTGCATCTCAGAATATAGGTTATGCTCGGACAAATACTCCTGGATTTGTTTTAACACGACTCTCTCTACAGTCTTTCCCAAGAACTGAAGATTAGATACAGGCCTGTAGCTCTTTAGATCATCAGGACTCAGCTTCGTGGACTTCAAGAGTGGAGTCACATGAGCATGCTTGAGAGAATCAGGGAAATGACCATTGGTGATTGAAGCATTCACAATAGATGTTATAACCGGGGTTAACTCATTAATGCATTTCTTCAGCAGCCAAGTAGGGATTGGGTCGAGTCGGGTGGAAGTTGAACGAGACTTTAGGATCAGTCCACAAACTTGGCCCTGTGATATTGGAGAAAAGGCATCAAAACATTGCAGAGTGCTTCGAAAACTGATATGGGCTAGATTACTTGAAGGTAGACTCTCGAGAGACCTGACAAGGACATCAATCTTGGTGCTGAAGAAATTACAGAAACGATCGGCCAGAGATAGACGAGGGTCATCATCTGATATGTCACGTTAAAGACATCATAAAGATCAGTGTTGTAATTATCAAAGTGGGGGGGCTAAAGTATTTACGATCAGGTAGAGGGTAGCGAGCGTAAATTGGTGTGGGGGGGGGGGGACAGGGGTTTTAGGCATTTAATTACGGTCAGAGAAGCACAAATATTTTGATGCCGCATTTGTGTCACTGGCAGGTCAGGGGGGGCGGGCGTTTTTTTTTTTTTTTTTTAAGGTAAAATTTACGTTACTATCCTATTTTTTTACCGGTTTAGGAGGCTAGGGGGGGGGGGGGCTGGCCTGTAGAATCGGCCCGTGGATCCGCGCCTGTCCAAAATAGCACACACACAAAATCGCCTCGCCGCTACGCGGCTCAGTAAAGAAAGAATGTAAAGGTTGCTCCCAATAATGAGGAGGAAATAATGTGCAGAACGGGAAGTCATCGAGAGAATGTCATCACGGGATGAAAGTCAGTAACAGCTATGTAGCTTGTAAATTTGTAAGAGGGAAAATGCTGATTAAAATGATAATGATGAAACAGCAAATAATTGAGGAGTATCATAGGTACCAATTCAATGGATATTTGTATAAAAAAGTCAGTACTAAAAGAGCCCCGCGCGAGAAGGCTCACGGGGGCTCTTTTTGGGGGGGAAGAGCCCCCGTGAACAAAAAATTAATTTGAGCCCTGCATCAATCATACAAAATACAAAATATGTCTGTCCTGCTTTTCGTTAACTTGATAGTCATGGAACAGATTCTAACCAAAGTTGGATCAATTATGAATGAGCATGCACGGATGAACTTATTATTTTTTGGGTGGAAGAGGTTGAAGGTCAAAGGGCACATGGTCATAAAAGTTAACAAATACCAGAAAATATGTCATTACTACTACAAAAACGTGAAAAGCATCGGAGCAATTTAAAACCACACTCCGGTGCATTATATATGAACTTATTATATTTTGGTGGAAATGGTCTGAGGTCAAAGGTCACATGGTCATAAAAGTGCTTACAAGTACCAGGCACACATTTGAGATGCAGTTGCATTCATCATATTCATGATATTAGTGTAACAGATATTTTCCTCTTTCTTGTTACTTTTACTTTTAAATCTCCTTATATTTGAACATGAAATACAAAATATATTCTGTTACATCATACAAACAGACTAGATAAGACATTGTTCGTATACTGTTTGAGTTCATGATCTTGTTGTAGTAAACATTGTTTGCATTTGTGGTGGGAGTTATCTTTTCCGTCACATTATTTTAGTAGGAGCTAACATATGAGATCTCCAATCATTCTTAAATGTATTTATATGTTCACATTAAGAATTCAGTTGAACATATAGTTTAGTTTAGTTTAGTTTATTTCTTTATTAAAAAATCACACCCGTCATCAGACGGCCGGCCTAAAAAGGCCTATGAGTGATACATCAAAAATAACAGTCATAAACAATTTGACATGATAACATAGTACAAATATAAGTATAACATAATTACAATCACAGGGAAAAAAAAAAAAAAAAAAAAAAAAAAATTATTCATTTAAGTAGTACAAAAGTTCTTGGCGAGTTGTTAGGATTTGGTTTGCAAAACTGGCTATTAAACTGCTTAGTGAGTCAGCTGAAATTAGGTAAATAAATTGTTGGTATGTGGAAAGATCTGAAAACGTATGGTCATGTTCTATTATATCATAAAGAAGTTGTGATCTGATGTCATTATATGCAGAACAAATCATAAAACAGTGAAACTCATCTTCTATGTTACTAGAATTACAAAAAACACAGTATCTTTCTTCATATGGACATTTTGATAACGCCCAGTTTCAAGAGCTATAGGGGCACAACCGCATCTAAACAAAGCCAAAGCACGTCTGTTTGATCTATTTTGACATTCTATTACATATTTTGACGTGTTCAAAGATTGTTTAAAATTTCGATAAGTTCTAAGTTTATTTTTAGCATGAGCTTTCTTCCTTTTATCGTCAAAAAATTGAATTTCTCCATCTATTCTCGATAAATAATTTACATGACGATGACACAGTTTTTACAAAATTGTCTGTACTAACAAGATTAGCTAAAGGTAAAACATGTACACATTGTAATTTTGAAAAAAGCTCTTTGACTCTGAAACACCAGTTTTTGACTCCATTGTTTGCTAGAGATTTAGACAAGAAAAGATTTTACTTGGGTAGCGGTCACTATTGAGTTTAATATATGTAGAAAACAGAGTATGAAACCAATAATACCGAAAATTTGTTTTGTAGGACATTCGCCTTTCCTTTTTTTTGGGGGGGGGGGGGGTCTTTTGGGTCATCTAAATGTCTGTGAAAGGTTATGGTATATAACAAAGCCACAGGTGATTCAATGTTGAATTTTTCCTGTAATGCATCACACAAAAATAACTAAACACTGATGTTAACACTAGATGGCACCATGGATTATGAATCCACTATATGGAAAGAAGGGAATATGAATCTCCTTGACGACCATAGTAGTTTGTAAACATCTAATGTATGTTAATGTATAAAACAAAACACTTTAAAATATAACCAAGCAATTACTGTAGTCCCATGAGACCAATTATCTGCACTCTCTCCATCTTCTTACCCAAGAAGGGAGTTAATGATTGGGTAGAAACATCGTTAAATTTCGCTAATTGTGATAAGAACTTGTGAGCGACAAAGCAGATGTTTACAGATTGCTTGTAAAAGTAGAATTTTTATTTGCAAATCATCTCTTTACGAAATAGGAAATAGGAAAGTGGCAAAGTGTATTCACCAAAAAAGTGTGAAATATTTCAGATGCCTCAAAAATGAATGAACTTAATGACAAATCATCCTATGGATAGTAATACAATTCCAAGTTAGATCCCTTGTGTATTTATTTGGAAATTTCTTGGCACGAACAAGTCAAAGGCTTTTGATTTTTTTTAAGTCAAGTAAAACCCTGAGGTACATGTTGATGTGTATTATGATACTATGACTTAGTTTGAGAAGCTGAAGTAGCATTACTTTTTTAAAGATAAATTGTTTGGTTCATGTTGTGTAATATGTGATAATAATAAAAGAATTTCAGACTTTTCAGACACTACTACAGACAGAGGTTTCCTAGTCAAGTGGTTTACGCACTTGACTGGAAAAGCAAAGCTTGTGGTTTTGATCCCAGATACAGCACTAATGTCCTTTGGCAAGACATTAACCTACATTTGCCACTCCATAGCCAGGAGAGAAATAGGGACCTGGTAGGATGACGAAAAGCCTTTGTGATAGAAATTGCAATACATTCACGGTGACCATAGTAACCAACGACAAGGACATAGAGACGGTATTCCATATTAAGCGCTATATAATTCCAAATTATTACTAGTATTTTTATTATTATGACTATTATTGTTATGGTTGTTCTTGTTATATTTTATGTATACATTCATTTTTGTTATTTTCTCTAGAGAAACCGAGGCAGACCCTTGCCCAACGTAGGAGTTATAAGACGGCTACATCAACCGGGCATAGCATCAATCCAGATGAACTCTTAGTAGACATCATACCGAAGGAAAGAGGGACACGCTCTAACTCCCGTTCCCATGGCAAATCAAGAAGTGGAAAGTACATCAAGTCTGATCGGCTACGAGTGAGTGGCGGTGGAGCAGCGGCCACTCTACATGAAGGGTCTGGAGAATCAGAAGCAGAGAGGATACGTAGGATGCGCAAGGAATTCCTTGAGAAGATTGCTGGTACATCTTCCAAGAATGGTGACAGTCTAAAACATTCTACAGATTCCAGTTTGTTATCTGTTGGAGGAGCTGCAGGTTCAAGCACTAGTACTAGATCACCCACAAGCTCTTTGAAGCTTGATAAGCTTACAGTAAGGAAAAAGAGTTCCAGGGGTCATGTTTCAAGCTCTGGTAAAGGATCACATCATCTCAGAACCGGTCGAGCATCAAGTGACCCCCACACTGTGGCCATTGATAATACATTACAACAAATCCAGGCCAGGAACTTGGCTCTATCAGCATCAGTCCAAGATATGAGTGGAAATCCTTCAAAGATTGAAGATGGTGCATCCAGCCATTTGAGTGTATCAAGTAGTGGCAGCTCACCTGCTGGAGGATCACCTGCTACAAGACCGAAGATCAGAATGGATCCATGCCCGGCTTCCTCTGCATCTGCCCTTAAAGTCACCGTCCCTGATCTAGCAGCTTCACCAACTTTCAACAAAGTACAGAGGAAAAGCCTGTCTGTCCAGCACACACCAGTCAAGAAGTCTAGCCTTGGTGATATCACATCTTTAGATAGACCACATCTCAGTAAACCCAGGAAAGTGTCTGAGGGAGATGTGACCAAACTAATACAGACTTCTGCTAAACTCCCATCTACCTTATTCTCTGGTTCAACTCAGCCATCTTTTTTACAACCTGATCCTAAACCTCTGGAGGATATCTGGAAGAAGGCTTCAGCCGATGAACTGATGCCCTCTTCATCTCCAACATTCAAGCTTTCCTTAGCAACCAAACCTGCAGAAGCAGCAGGGGGTGATGCTATCCTGGGCCTGTCTCTTAGCAACACTGCTGACTTAGCTACAGATTCTTTCTCTAACATGGACTTTGAAAATGGAAACATGGTTCATTTAAGCACTGTCCCACAAGCATCTAGTGCCTATAGTTCAAGTGATACAGATATAGATACATCCTTAACAACTTCCCTAGAACCACCATCACCCGTTACTATGGCAACAGAAGTTATTAATCAAGGTGATGAGGTTGATCCCACAGATGACAAGAATGATGTGTGGCAAGTTTATATTTGATTGAATGGTTGGAAAATGTAATGTTAGATAATATGATTTGTTGTGTTGTAGCTTCTTTGATTAAGATATGCATATCTGTGTCATTGATATCATGTTACTGTACTAATGGGTGTCTGCTCTCTGAGTAGTGAATTAGTAGAATTCTTTGTTTTATTGTATTGAGAATGTGGAAGGGTAATATGAGTAACCTTGCATTATGTAAACATGTTAGGATGTGTGTTCATGAAGGCACAATAAAGACTCATTTAGGGATGTGGACTTATAAGTTTTATTGCTATACTAATTATTGTATTCAGATCAAGAGAGGGTCTGGAATGAGATTGCGGAAATACTTTTTTTTTTTTTTTAACTGTAAACAAAACACCATTATGTACATGTCTTATTATAGAATGGGTTTAGTAATCCCTGCAATCTTATGGTTAAGAGCCAGTGAGCACACTTGAATAAAGTAATACTGACTGCGAAACTTATGCATGAATGTATTGCGATATAAGCAAACAATATCAACATTTAAACAATAGCTTTTCAATATGGCTGTTTTGAAACAGCCGCAATATTTGACCGTATTCAGACTGAAGATTAGAAGAACAAACTAATATTACAGATAAGTGACCAATTCTGCAAGTAAGCCCTTTAAACAAAGTTGGGTGTGATTTTGAAAATAACTCGCTGCTATTGTTCTCCATGTCACAAACAGTTCATGGAGAAGGTAGATTTGTCAATGTCGCATTACACAGTCACAGGCCATACATGTATTAGATCGCTGCAGTAGGCCTACAGTAGAATTTCATTCACTACGGCATTCTAACATTAGACCTAATGACAACCTGAGACTCATTATCTTGTCAGTCAGACCGTATAAGTCAGATTTTATGATGTTAAAGAAGAAACAAACCTTTTATTTTAACAAATAAAAAATTGAACCCTAAATATTAAACAGTTCATAACTCTTGGTGAAAATTAAGTTAATATCATGAAGCAGTGACTCTATTTCATGTGTCGGGGTAAATTGGTTTCATACATCAGGTAAATCAGTTTCATGCGTCAGGTAAATTTTTGTTGTTGAATTGGGCAATCTTTTTACACCCATTCTATAAATCAGATGATGCACAGGTTTATTACGGGGTCTGCAGAATTGTGTGCATGCTGCCACTTTGACAATGCCCAAAGTTACCTTGTGCACACAATTTATACTGACCCACTCATACCTGTGCATCATTTGTATACTATACACATGGTCTACTACGTTTAATGCTATAATGTGATGATATCTCTTTTGGGCCAATCAATCCATGATAAAGGTGTTTAATATTGGTAAAGTAAATTATTTTTACATTTACAATCCATCATGGCAAAAAAGCAAATACAACTCATTTAGTAATTATTATGCGATGGATGGATACAAACCATCTTCATGACACAATCATTCAATGCTTAACAGATTACATTATTTAGATTTGTTACTTTAAGTAAAACATTTAAATCCGTTTATACATCTAAAATTGTATGAGGTTGTGGATGTCTTTGAATGAAGAATTTTTAGGGTACTTGCCTAAACATAAAAATGTTTAGACATGAGAGTTTGACATGTGAAAAGCATTTTGTAATTCATTTTGTTTGAAGAATGCCTAACAAACAACTAGTTAATTAGGCTGAAATCATACAAGTATCCTTGAAAAATTGACAATACTTTTGAATATAGATTTTATTAACTTTAGAACTCTGAAATGGTAATAATGACGAAATATTCTTAATCCCATTCTTAAAATGCCCAAAGGTACATACTTTGTATAGTAGTGTATCCAACGTTAATGCCTTTATAAAGTCAATGATATTTTCTCTCTATGAAATAGAAGTGTAAACAATTGACAAGGGAAGGTAATGGCTGATGAGCAGTTTTATGGGGAAAATAATAAAATTATTCTGTTCTTTACTGTTTTAAAGGTTTTTACCATGCTTTCTCTATTACTGACCAAAAACCATTTACAGCTATCCTCTTTTCACTGTTTTACCTTCCCTTCCTCTGCAGAACTTTAGGTGTTTAACAAACTGGGTCCCTACCATGAAAAAAAACAACTTAACAGTTATCACATTGTTAGCTTCATGCATTTTTCATATTTTGTAAAAAAAAAAGGTGAATATATGACTTCCGCGATGACACAAATAGATTTGTCATACTAGTGTCAGTTTACGCTCATTGATATATAGTGTATGTTAAATGATGCTGACAGGGATATGATCTACATGTATATCTGTGTTGAGTAAACCAGGTAGATAATCAGAGGTAATATGAATCAATCTGAAATAAAATGAATTGAAACCTTTTGTTTTAGAAAGAAATAATGACTTTATAATAGAAATTATTGTGCTTATCATGTTTTGAAACCATGAATATGATGTATGCATTTTGAATGAGTTTTTTTTATCGGTTGTGCAAGAGATGATATCATAAGTTCTACAATACAAACTACATGTAAACTGAAACATTGTGATGTCAATCACAACCAAAGCACGTTATAAGACAATCTTAGTGATAAACATATTAGCTCCTATTATGATAGAATCTATATTTCTTTGTTATGTGTACCATATTGTGTATCATGATGGTATTCATTCTTACTACCAACTATAATCATTGGATGTACTTCATTGTGTAATTTTTGTATAGAAGTGTCAAATGTGGTAATATATTGTGATAATTGATCTAAGATATGTGTTTGTAACATTTTCAAATTAATGGAATCAACACATTTTTCATGTGCTTTATTTCACATTAAAAATAATTTTGTCAATGAAAAAAAGATTGTTGTGTGATCATTTCTGTTGCATCATGAAATGAAATGGTATTTCTATGATACCTTAGGGGGAGAGGGAATACATATGTGTTTTTAATTAAGTAAAGTCAGATGTGGTAACCAACATTTTTACTGTTTTACAAGAAATGTGATTTTCCCTGCAAAATGGGCCGACTTTAAATCACACACGTTGAGTTTTTACCCAGTTACTTTGCCTTGGGCTTTTGCAATACAGACACAGTGCGTCCCAGAAAAAACGAAACCGAGAATTATTGATGTTTTATCATAGCTTAATCACAATTATAATGATAGATGACACATATTTGTAAAGCTTAGATCCTCCTCTTTCATTTAATGTAAACTCATATAATGCATATTTCACGCATGAGTGATTAAAGTCAATTTGAAGAGAGGAAAACAAAAAGTCATTTGGCAGACAGTATCTGAATTTCAAAGAGAAATCACATTTCTAGAAAGTTGAGTTCTGCCCTTTCATATGACACCTCAATCAGGAAAAATGAGCTAGTAATAACAAAGTTCTGTTTGTTAAAGTAGTGCTTGCATTTCCATGACTTCATTTTAAAAACAATTATTTTTCACTGGCTGCCTGCCGTAGCAACAAATTGAATTAACAAAAGACTTAACTCTGTTTCGTTGACAATCAGCCGTAAACGAAAGACTTCATGCATGGCTGATTGTCAAACGAAACGGAGTTAAGTCTTTGATAAAACAAAGTACATGTATACAGTTCAATGAAATGTTGATTAACTTCGCATTTTGTTTATGATGCTTGAGACATTTATGTTCGTTTTCAGTTATACATGTATTTGATTACTGCAAATTAATGCAATTAACTGATCTAAACCATCAAATCCCTCAAATTTAGAGCGGTATGGTGTATTTTATACACGAAATCTCTTCAAGAAATCATGTCTAATAACTGGCATACATTACCTGTTTTCACGGATACTACAGCACTTGTATCTACAGGTGACATAATTTTTAGCCCGGATCTTTAGCCTATACGACTTCATTAGTTATGAAAATTGAATTGAATTTTGGACGCAATACTGGACGTCTAAGGCAGTTACATGTCGAACAGGGAGGGAGGGGATGGGCAATATAAATGTATTACGAAACAGTTAAAACAAACTCGAAAACTGTTGGAAAAAAGGCGTGGCGTCTTTCCATCCAGTATGACGGGGTGCTTACGAAGTAGATGAAAAATGCGAGATAAGATGACCATCGAGTGAGAGGGAGTGATAGAGAGAGGAGAGAGAGAGAAAAGAGAGAGGGGGAGAGGGGCGAAGGGGATGCAAGGGATGCACCATCTTTCTTCTCTTTTCTTTTCTATTTCTTTTCTAGTGTTAGTATATGCTGATGTTTGATGTGGAGTTTTGTAAATGCTAATCAGTCAAAATAAATCCATGTATATGCTCCACGCAAATGCACGCCAAAGTCTTGCAAAAAGTTACCAAACGCAAACGATTGACGAAAGGAATTATAGAGCAAGAATACAATGAAAAATTAGACTCCCGATAAATAGAAATAATGGTAGTAAAAGAAAAATAAAAAACAAAAGAAAGAATATAAAAAAATATATGAAATCGTTTGACACATTTGTCCTTCCTACCCAACGTTGAGTTGCACTTTTACATTCACGCTATAGGGGACAGGACACTTTATGTTTGCATTATCAAAACCCAAATAGAGTAATTTTGTATTGCATCTATGGCACCGAGTACAATAATTGATTGCACCTTTCTTTTTTCCAAATGTATAATGAATATTGATATACTCGTATTCCTAAAAAACTATACTAATCAGACTAACTTTCTACTCAGTTGCTATAACTTCACATCAGTTAATGAACACGTATAATTGAATATATGTTCATTAGCTTAATGATATCAGTAATTTTGCTAGTTACACAATATCGCAACTCAGCAGGGCCATCTAAAGTTATCTGAAGATTACGATTATTGAATATTTCGGTACAATTGAAATTATTTAGAACTCTTCCTATGCTGTTTTGATTTTGATTTGGCTTTCTTTAAATTATTACAATATAGTTACACCACATCCAAAGCTTTAGTGACTACACCTGCAATTACTTACAGTTTAGTTTCGCATCATATGCCATCCATTTTCATTAAGGAAAGACACTGCTTTAAAACAAAAATTAATTAATTTCTGTAACTTCCTGAAATGTTCAGTTTACATTAGACAATTAGACATAATCATAAGATATTCCGACTGGTCCTTAAACACATGTTAATATGGAGGATAACACCTGCCATCCTAGGTAATATACTATCATTAGTATACAGTCCCTTTGTGAACATGTTATTACGGAGAACTTGTCTCTAAAGGTCTTATGGCCGTTCGTCAACAATATTTGAATCTATTCTTCTCGTTATAAAGAATTTTTTAAAGTCGCGTTTATTTATATATATTTTTTATTTGTGAACATGTAGAGACCTCTTCCCGGGTGAGAGGAGAGACGAGGCCACAAGCTTATGAAAGGCGATTGATTGATAAAGAAAGAGGGAAATATTTCCCTTTCTTCCCTCAGTCAATCGATTCCTATGAATCTCAGAATATGGCACCACCATCAAGACTGGCCGCGTTAGCAGCACACCACCTGCTGTATTTGTGTAATATATCTTTTTGTATAGTACACGTTGTTACGAATATGCAAATGAGATGATGATATGCGAATTCCAAGATGTTGCTCGAGTTGAGAATAATAAACGGATCAAAGGTAACCAAATCGTCTTGATTTTCTTTATATATGAATATAATGGTGAGTGTGGAAGGGCCAATGTGAGTTGATTGCCCTGACCCAACAACGTATTTCATTAACTTCCTCCTAATGACTGTTAAGGCATCACTTCGTTGATCTTGTTAGGTAAGAACATACTGACTTGTATCGTTCAGGTCATGACTGAATAATTACTAGTGTGGTACATTTGGTTTTCATACACCAGAGATAACTTCGATGATCACTAAAACCAAACATATTTAATTTGAAATATCCACAAAATCTGACATGGGACAGGCTATCAGCCTTGCAAAACTCGAATTTGTATCTATTTATCATTAATAATTATACGATTGTTTATACATTGTGTGCAATATTTCCACCCAGAATGCATCTAATGGTTTCTGGCATATTCTAAGGCCTATATAATAGTTGGTTAACCCCATTACCAGGGTGGGGGGGGGGGGGGGTAGAAGCCCTCACTCTCCACCTGTCTGAAGGGTTTCTGAAATTATCTTGTGTAGAGTTGTAGTTCAAGCTCTTATATTGTAATGTTCATTATGAATAAATGGTGAAAGAAACCAGCAACCATTCGGGAGAGGGAAATCGGATATTGTAGTTATTCAGGACAATCATTTGCACTACGAAAATATAATAATGGTGTCCTCTCTGCGTTTATCAAAACCGAGGGCAGCTATGAAATTTGACAATAGAACATACTTACAAAACTACATAGTCTCTGTCTTACAGCTACGACTATATTGTTACTGTATGCCTGTACTTATTTACACCACGAATGAATTCAAGAGTATATGAAATGGGGGGGGGGGGGGGGGGGGCTTGGGTTTGCATTCAAGTTTTATTTCTGAACCCAACAGCGTGTCATGATGGTTTGATTTATTTGTTCATTATATGTTATGTGAAAAATTATGACGAGCCCAAATTCAAAATGTAAATTTACCTAGTTTTCTGAATAGGCGATACATAATGATACATTTGCCATCACACAACATAAAACAAACTCATAGAAAAATTAATTTCAACATGAAATAGCAACCATGAAAGGAGCCATTTTCCCCACATTGTGCTTAACAACTAAAGTAACCAACCACCTCTCTGTAACGGCGACAAAGATAATTATTCAAATTGACTTCTTTACCTTGAAAAGTAATTACTTAGTGCCGTGGAAGATTTAAAAAATCCTCATCGGTACTCAACAAGACAGCTAAAGAAATGCATTAGTGAAATGAACCAAAACCAATCTCGTCTCAGTTATGGAATTCGAAATATTATTCGACCTCCAAGGCTGGTTTTATATAGCACAATGAATGAAGAGGAAGCTGAGGAACATACATCGTACACTCATCAGCAGTGATGGGGGGGGGGGGGATCGGAGCGTGCCCCCAATCGAATGGCCCCAATAAAGAGGGGAGAGCGAGGGGAGAGATAAAGAAAAAGGAAAAAAGAACGTGAGATAATACAAGGAGATAGATTGCTCTTCAAAGCCTAGTATTAGGTTAATCGGTAACGAGGGGACAACATGATAACTCTTTAAAAACAATCTGTTGCATGAGGGGCATTAACCGATTATGATTATTGATAAATGCTTTGCGGTGAGCCGATCTACGTCCGAGATGTAGTATACAGCAGCGAAGGTAAAGACATGAAGATAGGAGTGAAAGATAGAAGACAAACGAGAAAAGAGACTGATGATATGCATGTGTGTCCGTTTACTTTAAAATGCACATTTTGTCCACTCTAAACATGATGAAGGGGGCAGGGGCTATATCCCCTTCCGGCCTGTTTAATCTGCTCCCTTAAATTTCGACTATCTATTGCAGCGTTTTTTGAATGATTACATAATAATGAATAATGATAATAATACTAATCAATTAATAATAAGTCATTATTATACAAATGATTTTATACCATAGTAGACTGACAGGGTTAGACCATATGGGAATAGACCGATCGGTGTTAGACGAACTAGTTGTAGACCAACCGCTATAAACCTTCCAGCTGAAGAAAAGAAATAATCATCTACTGGTCGATATCAATCATTTCTACTCGTATATTTCACTCCGATTCGTAGCTTTCTTGGCCTTTAGTAGACTAGAAGGCTTCAACCGTCCCAAATTATCGACAATTATTCATGAACACCGGAACTTTCGTCAAGAAAACTACCATCTTCAAGACTAATACGTTGGCAATATTCTTCAAAAACCTCTTGGTTGTCCAGTCC